GGGGGTGTCGTCTGATCATATTTTAAAAGTTTTGAATATCTCAGAGTATTTTTAACACATTGGCACAGTGACTCACATTATTGGAATCATTGGAATCAACAGGATCAAGTTCATACATAAATGTAATTTAAAGAAGCTTGAAGCAAAATACAATGAACATTAACATTAATATAATATATTGCATACAGTACTTACATGGTATCAAAGGCACAACTATAAAATCACATCTCAAAAGCATACATAAGCTATATTTTGCATTTCAGAATAATTTGTGAAGTAAATGCAAGTAATGAAAGAGAGAAATGCTTGCTTTCAAATTGCTGCTTCCCTCCCCCACTCTTTCCATGGACTTATAATATAAAACATATTCACACACACTGTTTTCTGTTTGAAAGAACAAAGGTAGACTTTGGAGAATAAGAAAAAAAGCAACGAGAAAAAACTTAAATCAACTCTCATACAAGAGTTAAATGGCATGTCTCTCAAATTTGAAACACTTGAAGATGTAGCACAAATGGTAGATGAGTGAAAGGATATCTTTTTCCTTACACACAATGACTCGTGTAACATTCAAATTATTATTACCTATACGATCGGGCACAGATAAGAAGAACATGGAAAACTCAGTTTTAGTAAGTGTTTTACGGCACTTGCAACACAATAAGGTCAAATAAGTGCCGAAGATTAGAGGTGTTACACGACAGAGTAACAAACACAAAAAAGAAGGAGGGGAGATAAGGATGATAGATGTTTGATAGGAAAGAAGGAGCAAACCACACGAGAGCACCCATCTACCACCCGCCTTGGAAAATTCAAAATCAAGGATAGCTTGTTCAATTTGCCAATCCCATCTGATAAATTGAAAAGGTCTTAAAGCCAATTTTAGAATGTTCGTGGTCCATATATCTTTTAAAAAAATGGAAGCACAGAAGTAATGATGACTGACGTAAGGATTGTCTTATTCCCAGTCTTGCTGTTTCTCTGTCAGAGTCTCAGAACTCGTGGTGTGAAAAGGTTCAATTGTAGCACTGCCCTGGTGAGGGAAGGGGGGGAATAGGCTGTCTGTGGAACTGTCCTCCATCATCAGGTGAACTAAACAACAACAAAACCAAAGGAAATTATTGAAGACACAGTACATAGAGTACATAATCTTTGTAAAAATCTATATCTCCAGCTGAAGAAAATAGGGAGCATTAGAAAATATCTATCTGTTGGTGTCACCAAAACTTTAATAACATCACTTATATTGTCAAGGATTGATTATATTGCAATTCCTTACTGGCTGGTGTACCTGATGAACAGTTACAACAAATACAAAGAGTACAAAATATTGCTGCCAAAATAATTACTAAAAAACTAAAGCATGATCATGTGACTCCTATTTTAAAAGCATTACACTGGCTCCCAGTGAAAGAGCGTATCATATATAAAATCTGTTTAACTTGCTACAAGTGCTTAAATGATTTATCACCAGACTATCTAAAACAGCTTTTAACACCCTATGTGCCTCCTAGAACGCTCAGATCATCTAGTGACAAAACAACCCTTGTTAAGCCTAAAATAAATTACAAATCATATGGCCAACGCTCTTTTTCATATTTTGCCCCACTTGTTTGGAATAGGCTTCCAAAAACTATCAGAGAAGCAGAAAATCTAGAAATTTTTAAGAAGAAACTAAAATCATTTCTATTTTCATCATATTTCGATTAGACAGAATGCATCCAAGCTGTAGATCGTTGTGAGTTTGTATGTGTGTATGTGCATATGTATGTATGTGTGTATGTGAGTATGTATATGTGTGTGGTGCGTGCGTGAGTGAATATGTGTTTGCATGAGTATGTAACACTATGTACCTTTGAAATTGATTTGTAAATCCATTATATGTATCATGTTAAGCGCATAGAGCATTGCATAAGTGGATATGCGCTATATAAATGCAATCCATTATTATTATTATTATTATAGAGCATGGTATTGCCACTGCACAGTACAGTGCCTTTGGAAAAAATAAAAGAAGGAAAAAAAAAAAGAGATCACTGATATGAGGTTTTTTGACTAGACAGCCAAATTTTCCAGTGATATCAGCACACCAGTCAGCTGTTTAAGAAAAAAGTTTAAAAAATATATATATATGTTTGTTTGTTTTTGTAAAGTTTTTTACGGCGCTCGCAACTGCATAGGTCATATGAGCGCGCGGGACACACCTAATATTTTCAGTTGGTAGGAAATTTTGAATTTTGCCCGGGTGGCGGCCGAAGCCTACTCTTATCGATTTTAGACCACCAAGGGATCTTTAACGTGCGCAATTTGCACACGGGCCCTCCGAGATTTTTCGCCCTTGTCCGAGAAGGCTAGGTGTAGATCTTTCCTACCAGAAGATCAGGGGTGTGGCAGAAAGATAGCAGTAAGGAGGAGCTAAGGAGTAGCAGTAGAAAGGCTGCAGAAAGAGTCAGGAGCCCAGAGGAGGGGGCAAAGGAGGTGAGGGGATGGGGGCAGAAAGTGGAAATGAAAGCAAACAACAAAACATTGCTAGAGAGCAGGAAAGGAGGTGAAAGGAGACAATTTTAGAGAAGAAATTTTTTCGGTCGCTACCCGGATTCAAACCCGGGACCTTTGAATGAGAGGCCAACACCTTAACCTCTAGGCCACGAGAGCCCCCATATATATATGTCAATCTACCATACTAAACTAATATAAAACGTCCACTATCATAAAGGATGTAGCCACACTTATATAAAACAATAATGCCACCTTACTCAGACCTATGTTGTGACATGTTGTACAGCTTATTCTTTGTTAGTTAGGAAAAAATGTTAAATTTTGTACATTGAGCAAAGTCCTCATTGTATCACAAAAAAAAAAGGAAACCAGGTTTTGGATAACAGTATTCAACATAAAGCATGATTATTCGTTTGTTGTTTTTTTACGGCGCTCACAACTGTATAAGGTCATATGAGCGCCAAGGGGTGGATGTCAATAGAGAAATCCTTACAGGGAATCTGACTTACTCTGCTCACTTCTCTAGCTTCAACAGCACAAAGTTTGCTTCGACTATCAAAGCACCCCGGAAATAGATGGCCACAAGAGTGTGACAAACATACAAAAGAAGTAGAGGAAAATGACGATAGTAAGGATTAGGAATGAAAAAGCAGCAGTTCCTCGTTGTAGATCAGGCACAGTTATGAGCATGACATAGTTGGATCAGCCCATTGACAATTCTACTGTGCATTAGAACGAGAAATGTCCCCCTTTGGGAATGGCCTAAAGACACTTCAGTCAGGGGCACCGCCCAGGGGGGTAAAGCACGGTTGACTAGAAAGAGTGAACCCAGATTAAACAAAACAGTGGCATGCACAAAGGAGGAACATTGTAAGTCTAGTAAAAAATCTACCAAGAACACATGATTTGGACAATCTAAATTGAGGTTCCATGATGCATACTAAAACAATGAATGCAGTCAATAAGACATAAAAATCAACAAATCCTATTAATGAACAAGGCTGGTGTGTCACAGTACAGAGTATGTGCTTGTTCTAGTTTAAAGTTTTAGTAAGAGTTTTACAGCACTTGCAGCACAATAAGGTCATGTAAGTGCCGAAGATTAGGTGTTATAAGCGAGTAACAAACACAAAATAGAAGGAAGGGAGATCAGGACGATAGATGTTTGATAGGAAAGAAGGAGCAAACCACACCAGAGCACCCACCAACCAGCCACGATATGAGTTTGTATAAAAAAGGTAGGGTGGTTGGCAGTTGCTGTGGTGTGATTTGCCCCTTCTTTCCTGTCAATCAAACATCTATCATCCATATCTCCCCTCTTTCTTTACTTTGTATGTTACTCTCTGAGTGGTACCTGTAATCTTTGGCACTTACTTATATATGACCTATAAATTGTGTTGCGAGTGCCGTAAAAAACATACTAAAACTCAACTTTGTACAAAAAAAAGGTTAGCAAGAAGGGGACGCGTGCCAAACCACTAGGAGGTAGTCTTTGCCTGTCATTCTGAACTTTTGAGTTATCCAAAACAATCTATATGTATGCCATACATACATATGTGACTTTGATAGAGACAAATTGCCTTCTTACTAGACAGTTTGAGTTTGACAAAGAACATCGATCATGAAAAGAATCTTTACCCTGTATAAATTATTTGCTTGCAATGCATACCTCTAGGTTCAATCTTTGAGGAGTCAGCACACTTACTGACTAGATTCTGCCTTATTGTCCTTATAAATCATAAATGATTGCTTTTATTTTTAAGGACAAGCGGGCTAACCCAGATTCAGGGGGTTTCTGGAAATCTTGACTTACACCAAAAGTGAGCATTGCCCTACTTATAGGAGAAGTTTGGTTTCATTGGTGTGTATATTAATTTGGTTATAGAGAAAACTCTCCTCATATTTTAAAGAAACTGAACTAGGGGCAAAAACTTAACCCTCGATTTTCTCAAAACAGCATTTTTCGGGATAGCCCCCTTGTGTTTAAGAGCGACCATTTATCCGCTTGCCTGTACTACTACAAGTTACTTACCGTACTGCATCCTCAAATATCAAATCCTCATTCTTTTCTGAACATGTTGGTGGGTGATTCAAGCTTATATACCCTGAAAGGGTGGGCGATTCAAGCTTATATACCCTGAAAGGGTGGGTGATTCAAGCTTATATACCCTGAAAGCGAGTGATTAGTGGGCCCCACTGGCAGGCCCTACTTCTTCACTTTCCCTTTGTTGTTCAATTTGGCCTGTCTTACTTCTTCCCAGCAATAAATGAACATTATATTGGGTTGATAGTGCTTCGCTTTACTCAAACAAAAATTAACAAACATAGCTTGGACCTGTCTTTTTCATGAGGAAAATGCTAATGTACGCTTATTTTCCCTTGCTTTTAAAAATCAGGGAATAGGTCTATGACTTGTTGAACTTAACTCTTGATTATTGCTTTCTTATTTTTCCCCACTGCCCAGTCAAAGAGGGGGAAAATGGGAGCTGCTTCTCGAGAGTGTAGTCTACCTTGTATGATACTTTAATTTTAATAGTTTGGGGACACTCATCTGCTTCAACAATGTTTCTCGTTGCCTATATATATATTAAAACAGTCTATAACTATAATCACTGTAAAAATCATTATTATAGGAAAATTTGGAATGCAGGGGAGAAAAAAATGGTGAGAAGTAAAAATGCTGCAACATGGTGTGCGCATGTCATGACATGGCAAAGAAGTGTTGTTTCATCAGGTGAAAAAGACTAAGATTGCTGTACAATTTGTGTTGATCACATGTATATAAATATACATATATATATAAAATATATATATAGTACTTGAGATCAGGTAAAACAGTTGTTGTATCCAACATTTTTGTCAACACCTCTGTGAGTGTGGGCTTGGTTGATTTCCACTCCGTTTTCCATCACCACATTTCCCATGAACACGGGTGCCCCAGAACTGCCCTTGCATGTTGCAGTTGTGTACCTTGTGATTGTGAAAGACAGGTCAAGGTCGGGGAGCTGTCGCATATACCCGCCAAACCTGGCAAGCGCGTTGTTTTCATCGCAAATATTGTAGATATTCCGCAATATTCTAACGTTCTCCATTTCTTCTTCACTTTTAACGCGATTCTGACGGTCAACTACAGTTCCGATGCTCACTTTCTTGGAAGTCCCATGAGGGTGGGAGATAATAATGGCGTAGTTCTTAGAGACGAGGCGTATTTGAGGGGGGACTTTTGTCCATGCGTAGTTTCGAATTTTGTCGAAAGTTGCAATCATTGTGAGCAAGTCTTTTTTGTGCGTGTAGCAGGTGAACATTGTGTAGTCCATCTTGTGGTTCGTGGTGTGTAGCTGGAAGCCTTTCTCTTTGTGCACCGTCCACCGTCGATCGTCATCGTTATTGTAGAAGAACTCCACTGTTGTCTTTTTGGCGTCCTCGTCGTTTTGCACCACGTGTTTGTTGGTGATGATACCGATGCCTCCGTACATTTCATGCCGAGGACCGAGCTGTTCTCTGTACGGGCAGGTCACGTCAGAGCATATCTCTTCCTTCAAAAGTTCCTCGGAGATGAGGAACACCCGACCTGTGGCCCGCCTCTGTCCTAAAATGCGAACCACGAGGGGAATGCAGTTCCATAGCCACACGTAGAATGATGGATGCCGGAGGGCCTCGGGCAGGTAGCTGTAAAAGAAGTCATTGACCGGAATGAATTCGTCGTGCTGGTGACTCTTTTCGCAGAGTGGCGCCACAAGGTCAAGGTCTGTGCCTGGTTGTACTTCTTCACCGTCGTTGTTGTCAGGAACAGATTCCAATTCCTCGAGGTCCAAAATACTGTTGCTTTCGGCTTGAAAATAAAAAATGAAAAAGAAATGTAGTAGAGGAATTTGTGACTGTTCATACTAGGACCACTGAAACTAAAAAAACGAAGACAGGCACAAGGTCAAGACAAGCAGACTGATAACAGACAGTGGGGGTTGATTTGAAAATTTAAGATAAGAGAGATTTAAATTATACATTGACATACATAAATATATGAATCATTTTTTGTGATGTATCAAGTTTTGTGTTTTTTCAAAATTCTATGGAATAATAAGATACACAATTGCTGCTTCAGATTGTGCCATTTTACGAATGTTTTCAATGACATGATCCAGCTCATATTATCTCGTTTTATTTAAAAAAATAAGATTTAAGCCTTTGATTTTTTGTTCTTAACGATAAAATATTGTCTAGGGAGGAAAGCAAGCCCTTGTGGCTAAAGTCAAATACTTCACACATCCCTTGGAAAGTACATTCTTTGCTCACACAACCTTTAAAAGATCTCAGAATGTGAGTTATAAAGCTGATCTTTGTGGTACAGTAGGTTACAATCTTTATCTGCAACAATTTGAGGTTGGAAATCAAGAGGAAATGATAATACAGCATAACCCGGTTGGTTCGAACACAAATTACTTGAAATCACGTTTCCGTCAGACTGTGTCTGCGGTCCAGTTTTTTCTTCTTCTTTATCTTTGTAAGAAAATTACGCAAAGCTTGAACACAAACACGGAATAGTTGAACTAATTACGCCGCCGTAGAGGTCAAAAGTCAATGGTCTTTGAGGTGCACTTGAGACGAAAATAATAAAATTAATTTTTTTAAATGGAAGAAGGCAAGGTTGGTAAAATCTCCCCCCCCATCAGAAGCAGCTTGCTGTGCTTTTTTTAGCGCGCTGCTCGACACACAAGCCCTCTGCACGTGCCTAGGCCGAGCTAAGCATGTGTGGAGCAGGCGAAAGGACGGGTTGTGCTTCATGCGATCGGTCGCCCCACTCCTCTTTGCAAAGGACTGCGAGCTTGGTGGGAGAGGCGAGGCAGGGCTGGATTGTTTCGGCGTCGCGTTGTTGATTACTGTTGCAATGCTTCTCTTGTCAAATTGTCTATGTTGTGAAGAATTCGAAAAGGCATCATTCCATTGGCGCAGACTGAAGACCGCCCATATTAACCCGCGCAATTAAACTGTCTTGGTACCGGAAGGCTCATTACCAGTCGAACTCGAAAGCGTTGCTCGTCCTGTTTCTCGTCATTCTCAGTCTGTCTCTCAAATTTCAAGTTCAAGTCAATAGGCATACATCTAACCTATCTGGTCTGGGACAATGGACGAAAAAGGAAATATCTCTTTTCCGACCTAATCTTTGTTGCTTCCCTTGACTATCTGACACAGCCGATGCCATAACACTGTTCACTTATCCCTCGAACTACCGAGGCCAGTCCCTACAAATTCAAGCTATCCGTGTCATACTTTATAGACTTAAATTGCTTTCTGTCCTTGAGTATTTTATCTCAGCTCAAATGGTCTACACACAGTGCAGGTATATTGTGTTTCACAGAGCACTGAACAATTGTTTCTTTCAAGAAAAGACATTGACTTAAATTATGCATCCCAGTAACTCAGATTTCAACAGTAGCTCTGAAAATTGAATCTGAATGTCAGCCTCTGTTTCTGACACCATTCTGAATTTGTAGATCTATATATAATATATATGTAGGGTATTTTAATTGTAGATTCAAACACTTGAATTAATTTCGAGGCCAGTCTTTGTTTTATAACCCAACTGGCACACTTACCGACAAAAGGGTATATTCCATCCAAAATATTGATGCACGAACAAGAATGGGCAATCATCCAACATCTTGGGCAAAATCTGTACACATTCTTTCTTCTTGCCATCAAATGTGCCATTCTGAAAAATACAATTTTTTTATATTAAAAAAAACAAACAGGATAGACTTATGTTCTAGGTCAGATGTGGTTTAGTAACTTCTCAGTTTTTTTACCCCTTCGTTCGTTGCCTTAAGGTGGTAGGTACATCACAAAAATGCGTATAATTTTAAATGTGTGCTGCACAAGCACATGCACGCAAGTTGGCACGATTGGCCATTCTTGGTTACTTAAATGATGTTTCATATATGTGTCCCGCTAATCACCTGAAGATTTAGCCAAAAAAGAACTGTGTGAACTTGTATTCGGGAATGAAATATGTTCATTTTGAAATCAAATTTTTTTGTATTTTAAACACGAATAAAATTACTTTAAAAAGGCAGTAATTTATTTTTCTCATGGAACCATCTCAAGTCCAGGTTCTCAAGTGTACCTCTTTCCTAGTTAAGTTTAGTTTTCTGCTGAACTCAAATATCTACTTCATTTCCATTGCAAATCATTACTTTTTCTATTCTTGATAGTTTTTAAACGAACTATGATACAGTAGACCCAACAAAGGAGTGATGCTTCCTAATGAGCTTAGAGAAAAAAAATCTGTGCCGACAGTAGGAATGCACGCACCCCTTTGCAACCAAAGGTTCGGCGTTGGATTTGTCATGCCTTCAGCAAGTGAACATACAAAGCAAATCATGAATTTTTCACACTCAAAGAGTTAACTGTGGGATGCATTAATCAATAATATTTATTTTTAGTAACAGAAGTTGGCTTGGGTTAGTCTATCTGGTTCCAGAATCTAGGAATCTAGCCCTATACCTAGAAAGGCAGTGTGATTTTAATCTAAACGAAATGACTATTTCTCCGAACGCTCGGGAAAATAAACTTAATCTCTATTTCTCTGAACGGTTTCCGTCCTCGATATTTTTTGGTTATTAAATTTAAGAGACTTAGGCGTAATCTTTCTTTCTGCCATACTGCGAGGACTGAGAAGAAGCATTTTTGGCATCGAATTCAATTTCTAGAGCTAGATCTAGCGATTTTTAAATGTCTTAATATTCAGATACTCCAGTTGTGGTTGGGGCGTTCCCGGACTATACTTCATTTGAAAATGCCTTCAAAAGGTACTGTGAGAAAACAGGACTGCACGACCTTGGGAGTAACCTTTATATTTGGATTTAGTCACCCCTAAAGCCAACGCACTAAAATCCTTCATCATGTAAACCAAAAAAATCCCTCCACCCCCCCACCCCCCACCCCCACCGCGCCTCGTTCACACCTTATACACACACACATGCGTGCGCATGCGGGCCACTCCATTCGCAAATCATCAACAAATCTCGAGAACAGAAAAACCGTTTGGAGAAATAGAGTTCAAGTTTATTATCCAGAGTGTTCTGAGAAATAGAGCCGGTCTAATCTAAATCTATTATAGAGTATGTTACTTTAGCATAAGATTAAGATTCTGATTTAGTCTAGAAAATCGGTACAACTTAAGAAGGTGGGTCCCCTCTGTTTAGACTTGGCATCATCCACACAGAGTACTGGATATCGATGAACTGATTTAAATATTCGGCATCAATGTTTTATCATTAGAGTCTAGATCTAGCCTACAAAATGATCAGTAAAATTTCAATTTTTTTTTAACAAGGCAAGGGGGGTTTCAGGGGTGCTTGCCCCCCTCACTAGAACAAAAACATGGATTGGGGGGTTTCATGCCCCCCTGAATTTGATCATTGCCCCCCTGAATTTGACCATTTATAATTTGATGTTGGCCACCTTGTCTCACTATTCTCACCCCCCGCCGGTGAGAATAGCTCCAACCCCAGTGTGGGCATGAGGCGAGGACTACCCCCTGACCTCTTGCAGGCCGATAAAATCACCTAGGCCAGTGGTGGCTTACCGCATGTGGTTGGGAACGAATAATTTATAATGAAAAAACATTGTTTGCCTCTCCAGTAGGCTAAAAAAAGGCTCACTACCGACACTGCGCGGGATGTGGGACCAGCCGCCGGCCGGACCACTCGTGGTTTACACTCTAAGTTAACGATGGCTGGCCTCTCTGCACACAATACATTATGGTTCAAGGTACAGAGAGTGTGTACGAACATAACGAGACACGAGCACGAGACTATGCTCTTGCACGACAGTTAAAGGGTTGTAATTTAATTTATTCAGACCAAATGGGCATATAAGCAATCAAAGCTCTATTATTAACTTTCTTTTTCTTGCCTCTTCTGTTCCCTTCTTCTTGAACATTTGGAGTTGGGAGCCAAAAAAGAGCCAGAGAGCCAAATGAAATTCTCCGGGCTAGACGCGATCCAAAAGAGCCAAATTTCTGGGATTTGGCTCCAATTTGACAACCCTGACTGGGACTAGATCTAGATCTATGTCTATTCGGTCACCAACACGATCCTGTGGAGCATCACTATCAGCCCTGGTAACCTCAGCCCCGATCCCTCTCTTGGGTCATAAATCTGGTAAAACAAGGGAGGGGGTGAGAATAGCGAGACATATTAGACGGGGTGAGAATAACCACTTCCTTCAAAGATGTTTTGCAATTAGGTTTGATAGGCTATCTCTCCATATCGGCACGCGCATAAAAAAGTAATCGTTTAAAAATAAAGAACCAGAAGTAGCCTAACAGTTGGTGGGGTCAAAACTAGACTTAGATCTACTAGATTCTAGATCTAGATATAAATCTAGATCTATCTAGTCTAGTTTAGATTTAGCTATCACTACTAAGTCCTGACTACTAGATTCTAGATTCTAGATCTAGATCTATCAGATCGAGATCTCGACCAAGTTTCAATGAGTCGAGAACTTCGTTATACTCACATGCTTTTCAAAACAAAACTCTGACACAATGGTACAAGTCATGGCATTCTTGTCAGATCATTTGGTGAAGTTTGGACCAAGTTGGAGACCATCCTAACCTAAGCTGATCTGAGAGCAGTAATTTCATCACTGGCCAGTTCCTCAACAGTGATCTCGAAAACAATCATGTCAAGACAATATGTTTACTTCCGGGTTCACGGCTCATGGTCTATTCGTGGTTTTGGGAAATTCCCGCGATAAGTTTTCCAATTCCAAGTCCAAAACCCTTTTTTCAAGGAAATAGCAATTTTCAATATTTTATAATGTTGCAACTTCTAAGAACTTTAAAATTTAACTATTTTTTAATTAATTTTTTTTGGGGCGACCCTAACCGGGTTTGGTTTGCTGGGAAAATAATCGTATATTTTTATTTATCGAGATGTGAATGACATGCCCCTAATTTCTTATATAACGACACATGCCGGATTAATATAAATAATGTGACATAATAGAGAATTGGTACTTCTTTTGGTACCTCTCTGGTACTGCTGCTGCTGCTGCTGCAACTAATAATGATAATAATAATGACAATATAATACTAGTAGTATTGTTATGAATGCGTATCCCTGTAGTTGATGATAATTCTTTCGCAATCTAAAAAAAAAGAAAAAGAAAAAAGAACTATGCCATGCAGGCTGCATGCATCCTGAACATGCGTTTGGTATATATCTACTTTGAAAGAGTGAACATTTGACATTTATTTTTAATAGTAACAGCTGGAAGAGGACATGAGAACAATTGGCATCTTCAACGCTTGAATGACCAATTAATTACGTCTTTGTAATTCTTATATATTATGCAAGTTATTCTGTTACGCGTGCGATACTTTCTGCAGACCTCATGTTTCCACAAACGTCTCATCGGGAATTTCCTGAAACACATGTATCTGGAGTTCACGTTCACCGTGGGAACTTTATTTAAATTCTATTGTAAATTTAATTTATGTAATTCATCCTCAATGCCTGAACTGCAACAGCCTAGGGAACTGCTATAACTTTTTCTTCTAATCGTCATTTTTCCTCTACTTCTTTTGTATGTTTGTCACACTCTTGTGACCCGCTATTTCCGGGGCGCCTTGATAGTCGAAGCAGACTTTGTGCCGTTGAAGCTAGAGAGGTGAGCAGAGTAAGTCTGATTCCCTGTAAGGACTTCTCTGTTGACATCCACCCCTTGGCGCTCATATGACCTTATGCAGTTGCGAGCGCCGTAAAACATCTACTAAAACAAAACAAATCGTGGGAACTTTGGGGTGTTCTTGTCGGTTTGGGGGGG